AATGTGTCCTTTTGCAAGGTAAACATTAGATCTAGTTCTACCTTCTGGAACAGCAGAGAACATGCTTGACACTTTCTCTGTCTGTCACCCTTGATGTGTTTAAAATGTATAATCATGACACTTCTCAGTCTTCTCTTCACCAAACTGAAAAGGCTCAACTCTTTAAACCTTTCCTCATACAGTGTTGTAGGTTTTTTCCGGGCTATATGGCCATGTTCTAGAAGCATTCTCTCCAGATGTTTCACCTGCATCTATGGATGCCTGCCATGGCTATATAGCCCAAAAAGCCTACCACAACCCAGTGATTCCAGCCATGGAAGCCTTTGACAATACTTTCCTCATACATTTTGTTCTCCATGCCTCTGATCATCCTTGTTGCCTTTCTCTGGACTCACTCTAGCTTGTCTATATCCTTCTTAAAATGTAGCACCCAGAACTGAATGCAGTGTTCTAGTTCAGGCCTGGCTAGTTCAGAACATAGTGGGAACATTTCATTTTTTAAATACATTTGGTTCACCGCTAGCTGTGTATCTACAACCAGGAAGCCTTGTTGGCAGCAATCTGTGCCCATAATCCAATTGATAATCCCATCTCAGGTTGCCCTAGTTATTCCAAACTAGGGCAAGCCTGTTAAATCACTGAAACGTACATAACTGTTGACTTAACCAAATTCCCACTGCTTCAGACACTTATCTGTCAGATCACCAATTCTCATTGATCCCTACCCTTATGTAAGAGTTAGCATACCAAGTTCCCATTGATTCCAATCTCAATATATCACTATTTGTTACTTGAAATATGTCAACTACTTATTGTGGTCATTGTCTACCTAAATCAGTGTTTCTCAACCTTCCTAATACCGCGACCCCTTAATACAATTCCTCATGTTGTGGTGACCCCCAACAATAAATTATTTTTGTTGCTACTTCAGAACTGTCATTTTGCTACTGTTATGAATCTTAATGCAAATATCTTATATGCAGGATGTATTTTCATTCACTGGACCAAATTTGGCATAAATAAACGATATGCCCAAATTTGAATACTGGTGGCGTTGGGGACGGGGATTCATTTTGTCATTTGGGGGTTGTAATTGCTGGATTTTATAGTTCATCTACACTCAAAGAGAATTCTGAACTCCACCAATGATTTATATATATTTATCATATCAGGGGAAGACCAAACAGTTGCATTGCATTTTTTAACAAACAAACAAACAAAACACAAAGTTTGCAAGCTTGGTAGTTGATTAAATGTCCTTTGACCAGTAGCTGGCCACTTGGAGTGCCTCTGGTGTTGCTGCAAGAAGGTCCTCCATTGTGCATGTGGCAGGGCTCAGGTTGCATTGCAGCAGGTAGTCACCAATGATGGAATTGAACCAAACTTGGCACACAGAACTCCCATGACCAACAGAAAATACTGGAAGGGTTTGGTGGGCATTGATCTTGAGTTTGGGAGTTGTAGTTCAACCACATTCAGAGAGCACTGTGGACTCAAACAATGATGTATCTGGACCAAACATGGCACAAATACTCAATATGTCCAAATGTGAACATTGGGGGAGTTTGGGGAAAATAGACATTGACATTTGGGAGTGTTAGTTGCTGGGATTGATAGTTCAACTGAAACATTCACACCCAACTCCAGCAGACAAGAGTCCTTTGTCCCACCCTGGTCTTTCCACAGATATATAAACCCATTTTCCTAGTTCCAACAGACCTCACTACCTCTGAGGATGCTTGCCATAGATGCAGGCGAAATGTCAGGAGAGAATGCCTCTAGAACATGGCCATATAGCCCAAAGAAACCTACAACAACCCAGTGATTCCGGCCATGAAAGCCTTCGACAATACATTAATATTGGAAGAGTTTGGTGGGCATTGACCTTGAGTTTTGGAGTTGTAGTTCCCCTACACCCAGAGAGCACTGTGGACTCAAACAATGATGTATCTGGACCAAACTTGGCACGAGTATTCAATATGCCCAAATGTGAACACTGGTGGAATTTGGAGAAAATAGACCTTGACATTAGGGAGTGTATGTTGCTGGGATTGATAGTTTACCAATAATCACAGCAGGAAGAGGGCTTTTGGTGGAAGGATTCACTGTCTGTTTCCAAAAAGGGTGGAATTTCTGTCTTCTGATGGTCTTTTGCGACTCCTCTGAAATCCTCCTCACGACCCCCCTAGGGGTCCTGACCCCTAGGCTGAGAAACACTGACCTAAATCAACTTGGAAAAAAGAACAGTAATGGCTCATTGACAGTAGAATGCTGATCTTTCAGGATAATAATTTCATAGTCTACTCCCCCCCCCCACCCTGTAACAAAAGCTGTGAAATATGAGTAGGAAAATTGGCACACAGTTCCATTGGCTGCACTTCCTTGAGGTTAGTCTCATTCTAGCCACCTATGTATTATGCAGTAATTTCAATCTTCAGTATGGCAGGGTGTTTTTTTGAAGCTCAGAACAAAATGAAACATTGACCCTTCGATATGCACACACAGCAAGCCATTCCCCAAATATCATGCTGACATTTGGAGAGGTGAGAGCCTTGTTGGCAATTTTATTTGGGGCCAAATATTGGTTTGCCCTACTCAGAGGAGCACTTGAAAGGGTCAAGGGAAAACAATTGCTGGTTCCTTCTGCAGGGCCACAGGAGAGTTGAAAACATTTTCAGGACACTGAGAACATGCTGAGATGTATACCCTGAGTTCGTAGAGGCAATTCCTTTTGTGAATTTGGATTCTCTCAAGCCCTATGCTTTGCTTTCTCAGTGATGCTCCACTTGCACAGTAAAGTAGAAAGGATATGCATAGTTAAATGATTTTTTTCTCGGGTCAAAACTGGATTTCCCAATGGGCAGGAGATCTTTTCAGAAAAATAATAATATAAATGGCCCACCTACAGAGACTTATTGATAAAAGGCTCTCTTACCTTGAAAACACACGATGAAATCAAACAAAAGTTCACTAATATTTCCTGGCTATATTATTTACAAATTAGAGTATCTATATAAATAAAAATGTAATGTTCATTTGTGGGATTAACAGAACTCAAAAGCCAGTGGACGAATTGCCAGCAAATTTGGCCACAAGACACCTACTAACCCAAGGAGTGACCATCACTCAAAAATTTGATTTGTCATTTGGGAGTTGTAGTTGCTAGGATTTATAGTTTACTTACAATCAAAGAGCATTCTGAACTCCACCAATGATAGAATTGAACCAAATGTGGCACACAGGACTCCCATGACCAATAGAAAACACTAGAAGGGTTTGGCGGGGATTGACCTTGAGTTTGGGAGTTGTAGTTCACCTACATCCAGAGAGCACTGTTGAATCAAACAATGATGGATCTGGACCAAACTTGGCACTGATACTCAATATGCCCAAATATGAACACGGAGTTTGAGGGAAATAGACCTTGACATTTGGGTGTTGTAGTTACTGGGATTTATAGTTCACCTACAATCAAAGAGTTTGCTGAACCCCACCAATGACAGAATTGAGGCAAACTTCCCACACAGAACACCCATGACCAACAGAAAATACTTAAGGCCATCCAGTCCAACTTCCTTCACCAGGGTAAGAAACGTAATCAAAGCCCTCCTGACAAAGAGCCATCCAGTCATAGATATAGATATAGATATATGATTCACACACACACAAATATATAGTTTCATAAACGCCTAAAGAAGGACAATGATATGTTGCATGTTCCAGAGTAGGCAAACCAGACACTCTCCACATCAACACTGACAAAGAAATAGCAAGAAATACTGTTTACTCACAAGCATAAAGGCATTGCATATATTAGAAACCAACACTTTCTCATTACTTTATTTTCCAGATCACCAGACTGGGCCACAGCAACACATGGCAAGGGATTTATAGTATTATAATAAAGACAAAAGAATTGATTTTACCTCATATTAAACATGTGACCAGGACTCTGCAGTGTTTTTGAGGATTGGAATTAACTTGACTTGGAGACAGTTCATCTCATTGTACAGTGTGAAGGAAAGAATTCACATGCCTACTTAGTAGGGGTGTTGTGTGTGTCTTTTACTGTTTTCTCCTCTTCCACCCCCGTGACACATTATAGTGTGAAGAGTCCCATAGTGCAATGGGAACCCCTCCCTTTTTAGTATGAGAGCATTTCAAGTTGTATAGTATGCAATGGCCTTGGACTGGGGAATAATAATAATAATAATAATAATAATAATAATAATAATAATAATCAAACTTTATCTGTACCCCGCTACCATCTCCCCAAGGGACTCGGTGCAGTTTACATGAGGCCGAGCTCACAATACATCAATACAAGCAATAACAACAACAATAAACAATTAAAATAAAACTCATAAACAAAAAAGCAATAACAATAACAGTAATACAACACACATTTTAAAATCTATGGCTGGACCAAATGCAATTAAAGTTTAAAAATAATGCTAGGCATGAACAAGGTAGGCGGGATGGGTGTTGGTGAAAGCGTACAAGCAATCCTAAATCAGTGTAAAGTGCATTTAGAGGACATAAAGCTGAGGGTTCATTATTCTGGGAAGGCGCACTGGAACAACCACATTTTCAAGCTCCTCCTAAAGACTGCCAAAGTTGGGGCATGCCTTATGCCCTTGGGGAGTGAGTTCTAGAGTCGAGGGGCCACCACTGAGAAGGCCCTCTCCCTCGTCCCCACCAATTGCGCCTGCAATGGGGGTGGGAGTGCGAGCAGGGCCTCTCCAGATGATCGAAGACCAACTGAAATTTCCGAGCCGTTTTCAAGGGCAGCCCCATGTAGAGTGCATTACAGTAGTCCAATCTGGAGGTGACTAAGGCATGTACTACCCTGGCCAGATCTGCCTTCACGAGGTACGGAATGCAGCAGTGGAGCATTGGAACTAGAGTAGCCTCTTTGCTTCTGCCAGGTTGAAAAACATTTGCAATATTGACAGATTTGATAATCCTAGAATCTCAACATTCCTCCTCATGTTTTTCAGGATCACAGTCATACAGATGTGTCTCAGTATCGCCAGGATCACGCTTTGATTATGAGGTCCATTGTCCACATGACGGAGGCCACTCGTTCTGGAATTATGCCTCCCAACCAGCTGACCACTATCAACCAGTCTCAATTAAGTGCTCAACTGGGACTGAGTTTAGGTGGTGCCAACTTGCCGCATACCTCCCCTTCCCCTCCGGCAAGCAAATCGGCAACCCCTTCGCCATCCAGTTCTATAAACGAAGAAGATGCAGACGACTCAAACAGGGTAAGTTATATCACCAACAGGAAGAAAACGCTTTTGGCATGCAGATGACATGGATGGGCATTTATTTATTTAAAAGAGGCCTTGAATATCACTGAGAGGGAACATATTTATCGTCCTGTACCGATATTTGCTTATCTTAACAATATATTGCTACTGTCCTGTGATTCTTTAAAAAGAAGGACACAGCTAGCACAGGCTGCTTTATGACAGCTTTCATATTTTATAGATGCAATAATTCTGTTTGCCGTATCTGCTGCGACACTTTGGCCATCCTAATATTCATTCTCCCTATATATATTTAAAAAGATACATTTGTGTAGATATAAAAAGTGACCTTTGGTTCTTTATGAAATTTTTGAGTGCACTCTCCGATTCATTTCCATCTGAGATTAAATGGGCATGAAAAGAAAAGATGGCAAAATGAGGAATATAACCAAAGAAAGGCAATCTGTTTTGGAGATGTAAACAAACAGGAGGTGTTTGATAACTGCATCTATAGAGACAAATATATAATACTATCTGTCCCCTGCCATGCGTTGCTGTGTACATGTGTTTTGTGTGTGTATATTTGTGTATATGTTTATGTATGTGTGTTTGTGTGTATATGTGGTTTTGCACATATGTTGTAATTTTATTTTTTTTGTTTTTTGGCCTTTTAAGTCTCTTCTGCTGTGTTTTTCGGTGTTTTTATGAGTGATGGTCACTTGTTGGCCTGATAGGTATCTTATGTCCAAATTTGGTGTCAATTCGTCCAGTGGTTTTTGAGTTATGTTAATCCCACAAACAAACATTACATTTTTATTTATATAGACTAGCCGTCCCCTGCCACGCGTTGCTGTGGCCAAGTCTGTGTATATGTGTTTTGTGTGTTTACATTATACGTATGTGTTATACACATGTGTATTGTGTGTATATGTGTATATATGCATGTTTGCATATATATGTGGTTTTGTGTATGTGTTGTAATGTATTTTTTTTGCTTTTAAGTCTCTTCTGCAATGTTTTTCAGTGTTTTAATGAGTGATGGTCACTTGTTGGCCTGATAGGTGTCTTGTGTCCAAATTTGGTGTCAATTCGTCCAGTGGTTTTTGAGTTATGTTAATCCCACAAACAAACATTACATTTTTATTTATATAGACTAGCCGTCCCCTGCCACGCGTTGCTGTGGCCCAGTCTGCGTATATGTGTTTTGTATGTTTACATTTTTTATTTATATAGACTAGCCATTCCCTGCTATGCATTAGTGTGGCCCAGAATGTGTATATGTGTTTTGTGTGTGTATATATGTGTTTATGTGTGTGTGTATATGTGTGTTTGCATATATAGATAGATAGATAGATATGTGTGTGTATATATATATATTTGTGTGTTTATGTGTGTACATGCATATTGTGTTTATGTGTGTGCTTGTCTATATGCATATTTGTGTGTATGTATGTGTATATATATATTGGGTGCATATATATGTGTGTGTATATATCTGTGTGTTTATATGTATACATTCATATTGTGTATATGTGTGTGCATGTGTATATGTATACTATATATGTGTGTATGTATATGTATGTGTGTATATGTGTATATTTGTGTGTGTCTGTGCATATATATACATGTGTGTGTGTGTGAATGTGTGCATGTGTATATGTATATGAGTGTATGTGTATATGTATATGAGATGTATATTTTGGGGTTTTAAGTCTATTCCACTGGGGTTTTGTGTATGTTTATGTGTGTGTTTAGGGGTGATGGACACTCATTGGACTGCTAGGTGTATTGTGTCCAAATTTCGTGTCAATTCGTCCAGTGGCTTTTGAGTTATGTTAATCCCACAAACACACATTACATTTTTGTTTGTATAGATAGTACAGTGCGTTTTTTAATTGCTTTGAGCATGGTGGTTGGAGCAGGTTACAGAAAGATAAATGGAATGGTTGGTTGTGTGGGTTATATAGGGAAAATTCCCGATGACGATCATGGGAGCCACGCATGTGGAAGACCTAGAGATGAATCGCATGGATCCATCAAATGCCCTTTCTACCAGAACTCTGCCTACAGGCTACAGAGGACAGCTGCAAAGGGATTCATTGAAGTTCAGTAGTGATTGAAGAATGACTCTATTAATTGTTCCCTGACCTGGAAAAGGGAACAAAGCTGTAGTAAGCAGCCTTAACAAAAGGGCTGAAAGACGAATGACAAGTTACTTCCTCCTCCTTTCACACAGAGTATCTTATTCCTGTAACTCATCTTATATGCCGGTGACTTCCATATGGAAGGATGGGAACCTTGATTACTGGCTGCTCCAATAGTGGGACAACACAGAAGGGAGAGCTAATGAGGAAAGTAGGGTTAATATTCAGGAATAATGAGGGGGTTAGGGATGAGGGCAGGGCTCTTTTGGTAGAGGTCTTTCATTAAAATTATTGTTATTGTCTAGCAGTCAGTGACTCTGTTGGAGCCCCCGGTGACGCAATGGGTTAAATCCTTGTGCCGGCAGAACTGAAGACCGACAGGTTAAAAGACCTAAGCTTCACCTCTGGAATGTAGATTGGAAATCAGATATAGACTGGTATTTATAGTATTGGATATTTATTTATTTACAATATTTATAGCCTGCCTTTCTCAGCCATACGGCGACTCAAGGCGGGTTAGAGATTGGTACAATTGGATGTCAGGCATTCATAAAAGTGCCATTTATTTATTTATTTCGTATAAAAAGCATTGCATAAATTAGTATAAAACTAATAAAAATAGAAGGAGTGTATCATAGAATCATAGAATCATAGAATCAAAGAGTTGGAAGAGACCTCATGGGCCATCCAGTCCAACCCCATTCTGCCAAGAAGCAGGGATATTGCATTCAAATCACCCCTGACAGATGGCCATCCAGCCTCTGTTTAAAAGCTTCCAAAGAAGGAGCCTCCAACACACTCCGGGGCAGAGAGTTCCACTGCTGAACGGCTCTCACAGTCAGGAAGTTCTTCCTCATGTTCAGATGGAAGCTCCTTTCTTGTAGTTTGTAGGCGGTTAAATGTCTTTTGATCAAAAATGGGCATCAGCAATGGCATTGTCTGTAGCCCCCAACAATTCTCCCTCTGTACATGAGGCAGGGCATAGTGGACAAGCATACAGATGCGGAGTTGTGTATTTTGTTTTGCTCCACAGTCACACAAGGTGTGGGATTCTTTTTAGGTAGTTCCATTTTGCCAGGTTGTCTTTTGATCAGCCCATTCCACTTCTGAATCTGTTCAAGGACTTCCATTCTTGGTTTGCCCCTGGAGGAAGACCCTCTCTCGTGTAGGGCCTTCCAGTTGGGTTTTCCTGGTTTAGCAGCCCAGAGGGATACCCTTGCTGTTGCTGGGGAGACACCAAGAGGAGTGGTAGTTCTCATAAAGCTTTTCCTTGATTTGAGTCTA